TTTTTGCTATACTCGGGTGAATTGTTTTGTTTTTGATTTGTTAGATGTTAATGCAATATTTTTTTTATTTTTATCGAAAAAATGCCTTTTTCTGCGATTAATGGTTCGTTGGTTATTTGGGTCTTTTTTTTTGGGATCCAACGAATTATATTAAAAAAATGGGTTTTTTAAATCTCCTTATGTAATTTATTGTTCATGTTTACTTAATAATGGTGAAAAGATCGTATTTAATTGGCGATTTCTTGCAGTAAATCGTATTTAAAAAATGTTTCGTTTAATTGCGTTTTTTAAATTGCGTTTTTTTCCTTGATGATGTTAACAACAAAATTGCCCTTTTTCTCCTTCGCGAAAATGCATCTATTTATCAATACTTTGCAGTTAATTGTTAGTAGCTACTTAATAATGCCTTTCGTTTTGACCATCAAATGGATAGTCTTTAATTAGCGATTTCTTGCCGTTGTTAGAAAAAAAACCTTTCTCCTAGAACAAAATGATTATCGATTTTTACAATTGATTATTAGCAATTGGTTATTGTTTAATTGTTGGTTTTTCCTTGTCATTTTATTTGTTATTGTTAATAGTTACTTAATTAGTTGTCCTGCGTTTTTACCTATTATAAAAGAATACCTCTTTATTAATCTTTTCCCAAGAAAAAACTTCTTCCGTATATTTGCCTGGAAAGTTGCACTTTCCCGTTACTTGCATCGATTTTAGAATCTATTTTCTGCCTCAGCTATCACTTCCGATTACTTTCATTTGATGGACAAGTTAGGACGTCTATTTTACAATATTACCCACCCTTTGAATTTCAATTTTCTCTCTCTCTAATTGCGGTTCCTCTTTTTCTATTTCTTAATCAGGGTCATGTTTGTAAAAAAGCTATGGCCGTCACTGTGGAGTCCTGCCTGCAATCGCCTTTCACCTTGCTCTCTTCAGGGATAATCCGGTGCTTTCCCTTTGCACAGTGGTTTTTAGCATTGCCTGCCTTGCCATAGCAGGAGCTCGGCGGCTTACCATCATGATTGGTGGTAGATGTGCAGCTGCTGCATTTTTTCTTCTAATCCTTTCCAGTTGCTTTTTCGGTCGACACAAAAAAGGTGGGCTATCAACTTGCTTCTTCTCTTGCTCTCGCTTTTTCTAGACTTTCTCGTTGCTAATTTTCTCAATTTGTTTCAGCTTGCAAAACTGCTGTTGCTGGTGAGTGTCTTGCTCCAACCTCATTTTACTTACTCTCTTGGCATTTGTGTGACGCCCCGAAAATTAGGAGATTGTTTGTAAATAAGATACTAAAGTGTATTTCTTTGGGTTTGATTTAAAACCTTATTTTGTTTTAAAAAGATTAGAAACCCTAAAATTTTAATCAAAAAAACCCTAGTTTACTTGTGATTAACTGGTTTCCTTCAATATCTCATCTTTTAATAGAAACTCTAAATTCAATTTATGGAATTGGAAAATCCCTCATGTTATTTTAAAAATGTCCCTTTATTTGGAAATTATTATTTTTATTAAGGCTTGCTACCCCATTTATTCCACGATAAGTGTAAATAAACCTAGAAAGTAGGTTTTCACCTTTGGTTTTAAGATCGGAGTAAAATTAGGGTTTTCGCAATTTTTCACCGGATGAATTTTCGGTACAAAGTAAGGATTAAATTTGGAGATTAAAAGTGACTTTTAAGTGAGAAATAATATGTGAGTAGTAGCAATGATATAAGGTTAGTGAATGGGAAGTAAAAACCCTAGTATGTGAGTTTTAAGAAAAACGGCGCCAACCGGCGGGTCCCGCGCACTACCGTTTGAACGCACCACTTGACCACCACTTTCTTACTGTATAAGCTCATTACTAATTGAGCAAAATATCTTCCCCCTCATGATGATAGCTTGACCGAATGTGTGGCTCAAATGCAAGGAAGAAAGAGAAAATTTTGTGGTTGAGATTAAACCAAGTGTTAGCCAAACTTGTGGCTAGAATTAATTCTTATCTTTCCATCTTCTTATAAGACAAACTTAGCTTCATTTCCTTCCATTTCTGCATCATTCCAGCCGACCAAGAGAGAGAGAGAAGTGAGAGCTTGAGCAACCACATTCCTTCTTGATTCACACCAACCAAGTGCTAAGCTAGAAATCTAAACCGATTGATTGCAAGTTTGGAAGCTTGGGAAGCTAAGGAACCAAGAAATTTCAAAGGAAGTGAACTATCACTCATCCAAGCCTTGTTTTTGAGGTATTCAATCTGATCATGGTCCTTGATCTTTTAAATCTTGTGTTAAGATGTTATTTAGCTTAAGTTTTGGCTTGATTTCAAGATGAGCAAGTGATTGTGATGATTATTGGATGAAATAATCAAATCAGGGTTTTGGGGATTTGCTGCCAAACTTGATGTGTGACTCACATATGTTGTAATTAAGGTTATATAAAGGGTTTTGGTAGTGATTAGAACAAGAAATTGAGGAAAGTTACATTAAAAACTGAAAATCCCAGAAATCTGGAAAATTGTTCTTCCATTCTGCCCGTTTTTGTAGCCCTATGTTAGAGGCCTAATTGGCCTTTGGTCAAAACATGAAAGTTGTTCAGAATGGTATTTTATAGGTGCCCACAAAATTTCAGCTCATTTGGAGCATCGTAGCTTGTGAAAAGACGAAAATACCCTCGCTGATCTAGGTCACTTTCCAGAATTCCGCGTGGACAGTTCAGTCCTTTTGATTGAGTTTATTCACTATGATCCGTTTAGATTTAGCCTTTCACCGAAACATGAAAGTTTTATTACCCTGTCTTAGCTTCGTAACGCCTCCAAGAACACCTTAATTGGATCTTGGTAGACTGAGATATGGTCATGTGAGTGAAATGCGGCTGATTAGCCGAATAGTTGAAACCAGGTTACATGAGTTGGGAATTTGATCAGGTTACATTGAAAATTTGACTGAGTGCTCTTCATGAAAGTTGTAGTGTTCTGAAGTAGCTTTAAAATTCCTCTAAGAACACCTGAATTGGATTTTTGTACACTGAGTTATGTTCATTACAGTGTTCTGCGTTTAAACAGCCGACGAATTAGTTTCTGGTTTAGTAATTCGAGAATTTGACCAAGTTACATTAGAAAATGGACTAAGTGACCTTCATGAATATTGTAGCTCTGTATCTTAGCTTCGAAACGGCATAGGTTTCATTTTAATCCGATAAGCGTAGCCTCGGATATGTTATTTCCGCATTTGTACGTCAAATCTGTTTTGAACTAAATTGAATTTCTGCACTTGTACTTAATACGATTCTTGTTATTATGATATTGTGAGCCTATGGAATGGCTCTTGACATGAATTGCTGATATGTATAATGTTGGGTTGTGTTTGAGAAAAACAATGAAGCCTAAAAGGCTGGAAAATTAGGTAAACACAAAGGGCATGCTGCCCGAATTTTTACTCGAGGACTAGAAAACTATATTAGCGACTTGAGTGAAGGTTAAGTATTTATCACTTGAACTAGTAAAGACCTTTGCTACTATGTTTCTTGAGTGTTATATGTTAAGACTTGGTCGAGCTCGTACCTTGAGGAAAAGACTTAATGGCCAATGTAAACTTGTATTTCCATGTACTTTCAACTCAAGTGTTATTTCCAAGTATTTATGCTACAAAACCTTATGATTGAAAAGCGAGCAAGTGTTTCGCGAGTGTCTTTCAAATGAATTTCAATTGGTCGATTTTTAATGAATGGAATGTTAACGTTTCGAATTCGACTCGTGTTTCAAAGTTCTCAAACTGGAATTTTTATCGCAGATCTGGACTCCAAGCCTGGAGTGTAATTGAACGTGAATAATTGAAGCACTATATCTTTTGGTGAGTGCTTTCAAATACCGAATTGCACTAGATACTTGAACTTGATACGTGACCAATATGAGTACATGTTATATACGTGAATTGTTAGGGCAAGAGTGTACTTTATCGCACTTGCCCTTACGTGATATACTTGTTTATTGTTGCAATTGACTTGATATACTTGTTTATGGTGCGCGCACTTCCTGGAATTCCAGAAACCCTGCGGCAAGTTACTTGAGTCGAGCCGGCAAGGGCTTGGTCGATTGGGTAACGAACCCTGGGTCTCTTGTTTTGTCGAGTGGAGTGATATCTCCTCGGCTAAACGGTATACTCGAGTATTACCACACGTGTTTATTGAGGATTTTGGGCCCAGTAGGGGGTGAACGGTGGACGGAGAGTCGTGTAAGTGGTGTTCTACTGGATTGGTTACCTACTTAAAAGTTGACGGAGTGTCAACTGTTACTTGATCAAGCTCTGGAGATGCAATGGAAATTTGGCTCCTGAGTGCCTTCCGTATCCTTATACTTGAAAGTGATTATTGCTTATTGGATTGCTGTTCCTTTTGAAAATCGAAAAGCACTTTATACGTGCTCATTTGGAAATTTGCTACTTGAAATATTATTGTCCACTCTTATGAGTTTTGATGCCGTTAACTTGCTACATGGATATTCATACTTTTAAAATGGGCAATTTGTTATTTGAAACCTCACTGGGCTTTTAGCTCATTCCACGCTATTTGTTTTCCTTACAGGAATACGAGTGAGGCGTGAGTCGTGAACAGACTAGCGTAGTCTAGTTGCTCTTGAAATTGTTTTGACTTTTGACTTGTACTCGCGCAATTCCTCGAATGGAACATGTTGTACTTGGATTGTATACATTTTGAACTAGTTTGGTGTATTGAGGCTTTGTACCTCGATTTCTATCAATGTAAATTATAAGCTTGAATTGTGAATGTTATTTATGGTTCATGGATGTGTGTACATGACTCGATTGAGATAGTGAGTGAGTCCTGGCGAGAGCTGGGCAGGCGGTCCGCCGAACCCTTTGGTACGCCTTAGGTGGAGGTGGGGTCGTCACAATTTGTTGTGTTTTTTCCCCCAAAAATACTCAGCTTAGTACCTTGTTATTTTTCCTCATTCATCCGCTTCTTTCTTTTCTCGCGCATTGGTTTAATTTTCTGCATTTGTTTTGTCTTGCAGAGCTCCTCTTGCTGCTATGTTGCTGGTAAGTTTCTTCTACAAGCAAACATTTATTTTACTTCAGGTTACTCAATCATAATTTTTTCTTCAGATTACTCAACCATATTAAAAATCTTTTTTTTCCCCTTTTCATTTTTCCGCGCATGATTCCTCGAACCCATCTGCTCTAATATTCATCCCAAAGACATCTTCTTTACACCCCCAATTTTAATTTGGATGGTCTGCATCAAAATTAGGGATGCCCAGATATTAGAAATTCACTAGCTTTTGCTCCAGTCTTGGGATTCAAATTTTGCATTCTTTTTTTTTACAACTTTCTACTGTTCGATGTTTCCTGTTTCATTTAATAGAGTTATCTTTTTAATACAAGAGGGAAAAATTATGATTACTTCAGGTTACTCAATCATTTTTTTTCTTTCTTTTTTTTTGGGCAGATTGGAAGGCAACAGTTGTTTGTCTCATATTTTATGAGAAAAAAGGTAGACCTGAGTTTTTTTCCTACAAATTAATTGGTGATCATTTTGTTTCTATCTTGGAGAGTCGGCTATTTTTCCCTTCTGTCTTTAAGATCTGACAAATACTTTTTTTATTATCGATTTTTTTCCTATACACTATTACCTTTATTGTTGTGTGATTATTCTTTTCTTGTGTTTTTCTCTAACTTGTAATTGATATGTGCCTTTTTCTTTTTAGAAAATTTTTGGTCCTTCTTCTCTCCGGCATTCTCTTTCCTCATGGTGAGTTTTCTAATTTTTGCATCCGTGCTTACTTTTATTTTTTTTCCTGAGCTCTATTTTAAGTTTTTTATTATTGTTATAGGTGTTGTTGCTGTTTATATTTGGAGGATTTTTTTTGTCCACTTTTTTAATTTGCAGTTATGGTTTCTATATATTTTTCTCTATATATGAGTAGCAAAAAGTAGTTCCTACCTTTATATTTGATTTCAGGTTTTCATCTTTAAGATCGAAGAACTCATTAAACGTGGCAAAAAAAGGTTATTACCTTTTTGTTTGATTTCATGTTTTTATCTTCAGGGCTAAAAGAACTCATGAAAATATAATGGATTTTAATGCCTTAATATCTGCTTTCCTTGCTGAAAAGTTTTCTATGATTTTTTCAAAATTTCCCCTCAACTTATTTCCTAATCATTCACTTCAAGTAGCACAGCATACTGCATCGTTTATTTGCAAAATACCAAAACAAACAGGTAGCGTTTGTATAAATCTCCATTTTTGAGTTTGTGAAATAGAGGAAAAGAAAACGTGGTCTTAAATACCAAAGTTCATGTTTTGTAGCTACTGCTTTTCAATTGTGTTGTTGCAGTTTGTAAGAATTATTATGGTGCTCTCAACAATGGAGACCACGTTTGTTTTAATTGCTGATTTTCAATTTTTTCTATATGCCCTCTCTATGAGCTAAAGCTCTCAAGAGAATATCAGCAAACTTATTGGTTGATTTTTCTTTCTCTAAAATTTTTTGTTTTTCCTTTGCAGTTGAGCTTTCACTGACATGCTCACTTTGACTAAATCAAACTTGTGCATGGTAATCAAGTGACTTCTAAGGTTTTCTTTTCTATCATTGTGTATATTTTTCTTGGCTGTGATTCTTTATTTTTTTTCCTTATAGTTTTAGTCTCCAATTATCACTTGATGGTTATTTTGATTTTACTGGTTGTTTTTTGTGATTGTGATGGGTCCAGAAAGAGAGAGGGGGTACAGTTAGTTCATTTTGCAATTTAATTGCTTGTTGATCTTTCCAGTTTCTTCATCTGTTAGAATGGTGAAATTTTTTTACAGAATTTTTTGAAGCCAAAATAACAAAAAAGATGTCAAAATCTGATTTTAGGAGTTATGATACTTTCCCACGAGTCTAGAAGATTAGGGCTATACTGCATTTTATTGTGCGCATATTGGGATATTTGGGTCTTTTGATCTCTCTTTCCTTTTGTCTAATTTAATTAGATTTCAGCTGTCAGCCATGTATTTTTCTTTAATTTTGTTATATATGTTTTTTGTTTTCCTAAGCAAGTCCCTCTATTTTTCAAGTGGATAGCTAAAAGTTATATACTTTGTCAACTATTATAAGCTATAAAGGTAAGAAGAAGGCATATACTAATGATGCGGTTCATGCTGCTCTACAAGTGATAATGTCTCTTCTTCTTAGAACTGATGGATTTTGAACAAAGATGTGTTTGTGAAGTTGGTGTATTCACTGGTAAGGTCCATAGAACTCGAATTTGTGGAGAAAATGGACCGTAATGGTATAAAAGTACTTAGTTTATTATATAGCTTGTAATCCAAACCTTTCAAGAAATAATTACGTGGCCTGGTGTTTGTCGATAGATTTAATAAACTTTTGTGCTAAATAGGTGCCATGTGTCTTATTGTTTCATCTTACACAAGATAATTTCCCGGTGGACACACTTGTGAGTATTGCACTTTCCCAAGTCCTTTCTTTTTGGGTGCAAATTTAACATTTTAAGCACTTTCTTAGGTGTTCTTAATTGCTAAGAGCATTGGATACAAGGGGCATATCATCATGTCAATCGCCACATCATAGACAACCTAAAATTTGAATTAAGATGTCCCTTGTTCACTCCTGGTAAGATCCTTAATGTGTTGTTGTAGCTTTTGCTAATTTTGTTGCATACTGCTAGGACCAAGAGAGGTTGACTGAACATGAAATGTGAGTTAAGTGTTCCCGAACATTTCGGGATTGTTATGATGTTAGTGTTTTTTCTTCTTGCTCTCAAATTAAATGGTGACATGCGCATATTTCTTAGCCTTTGGTTTCTATTTTTCAAAATTTCTTCTTTTCTATTCTTTTATGAATTTATTTTTGTTAATAATGTATTTTTCTGGTTTTGCAGGTGCAAATGATGAAGATTTTGTCTGCTCAATACTCCTATTAAGTTTCTTCTTCCAGGTGAAATAGATTTTAATATTTCAAGAAGATAAAGTTCTCAATTCTTGTGATTTAATGATAATTAGCTCTTGCCTTCTAGGCTGCCTACAAGTTTATGTTATTGGATTTATTTCCTATATTGAAAAAACAGTAAATTTTTTGCTTCTTTCATGGATGTATGCTTACTATTGTTTTGAGTACGTGGTGAAATTTTAATATTTTTTTGTTGTGTCCTATCTGCTATAATTTAGATAAAAGATCGTGTCCTTAATTTTATGTTTCTCAGATATGAATGGAATCTTTCGGATTTGAGTTTGGACTAGAGGCTGGCCTTTTTTTAATCAAACTGGATTTTTTTGCTGGTTTTAGTAAAATTTTCTTTATTATTTTCCTTTTGTTTCAATACATATTGCTAAAATCTAATTGGAGTTCAAATTCTCCTTTAGAATTTTCACTCCAGAAAATTACATATAGTTTATTTGATGATACTATTAACATGTTTACAATTACTAGAATGTCCTTGAACTGTGTATTTTCAACTTGAAACTACAGCATTCCTGTTGGCCCAGCTTGTTCCTCTTTTTCCTCTCCCCTTTCCCGACCCCAATAAAAAATTCCCTTGCACGCCTCTTTTATTTTGTGATATGCTATAAGAAGTCTAATTCCGGATCATATTCCTAGACAAAATATTATTGAAGGTAGTGGGGCTTTAGGCGTTGATTCTTTGTCTTTGTGTATAAGTAGGTCTTGGTGTGTGTTCTTCCCTTTCTAATGCTTGCACGGTAATTTGGATTTCTCAGTCAGATTTGGTGGTGATAAAGTAAATTATTACCTGCGTCGTATAGATGATCATTGTTTTTTGTTTTCTATATCCTTCACCTGCATTGGTAGTTTGGTTCGTACATGGCTGAATGGTTGAGGTTGTCAAACTTTTATACAATTAGTTTCTATTAAATGAAAGTTTTTTTTATTGACAAAAGATGCGAAAGTACTAATGCTCTTAGTCACTGAAGTCACTATGCAGTCTCTCATAGCAAACATGGAAGATTTTATTTGATGAATATATGGAGCTGAAGCCTTTTGGTAGAAGAAAACTTTTTAAATTTGTGAGGGATGCTTTGAAATTCAAAGCAATTAGAATACATTTATTTTAGTCTTTTGCTGTTTTTTTTAGATGCATTATTGATTATTCGTTTGTATTTTTATAATTGTCTTTTGGGATCCCCTTGTATTCTAGCTGTATTCTTTTTCTCCTCTAGTTAGCTATGGAGTTATGGCTATACTCTACCCACTTGTACGTTGCAGCTATTCTTCTCACTATTTCTTGATCAATATGTCTTCCTATCGGTGCACAAGCAGTATTTTATTAACAGTTTCTTTTTTCTCCTTTTTGTTTGGGTACTTTCTTTTCATTGATGTTTTACCTTGTGATCAAGAGATTTTTATTTTTACTGCCTGGTGTTGAAATTGAAACTATATAGTTTTGGGGGAAAATGATGTTAGTGCTTAAATATATATATATATATGAAAATTGAGAAAGATTGGTCAATTCATCATGCATATTTTGTTATGCCACCTTCATCTCGTACAAGTGTTCAATAAAATGTCCAAACAAACCATGCAAGACTGCCCTCTTGAGTTTTACAAGCATTTGTAATTCGGAACTTCTTTGTGAATTTAGCCGAGGGTTGTAATATAGTTTGTTGGTGAGTTTGTAGACCTTGCCTCCAATTGAGAAAAGCGTGGCATTGGTGGTTTTAGAATGAGATGTAATTTCCAAAACTGTTCCAAAATTATGTAGTTATTATTATTTTTTATGATGATTGCTGTGAATTCGGATATAATTCTTATATAGTCAATTAAATTGGATGCAATTTATGAATTGTGAATATTAGGTATTTAAACTAAAGGTGGGAGAAGAAGAGCACGACATTTGGCGAGTCTCATTAATAGACTATACTCGAAGATGAGATTGTGAGTCCAATCCTAATGGTCAGACCAGACCTGCAGTTTTGCGAGATGTTCTTCATCATTGTTCCAGTTTGCAGTTGTATTATTTCATGCTGTTGCCTGAACAGGCATGATTACACAAGGTTGAGAATATTTGGTAGCATTTGCAAATATTTTTTCACCTTCTGATGTACAGTAATTTTCCTTTTGCATTTGCACGCTGGGCAGAAATGGGGAATAATATGAAATCCTACTACGCATTTCTGGGCACGTCTGAAAATTACACCGCGCATCGCGCGGTGTTCTCCTCCTAGTCTTAACAACAGTTTGAATGGAAAGTTTATCATTAACATTTAACTAGTCAATATAGAAAGTAAAGTGTATATATTTAAATTTTAGGGGTCAAAAGTGGTTACAAAGAATCAAGTTCAAGAGGACAAAGTGTAATTGGCCCTAATTAATATTCAAAAAAAAAAAAAAGGAGTTCAAAAGGAAAATTATGGCAAGAAAAGATTTAGACGAGCTTAGATTGGGAGTTTATAAGAGGAGAAAAGAAAAGAAACGATGAGGATAAGTTATAGAAGAAAAGGAAAAAATGATTTTCTTCTCAAGTTAATTGGAAATCTAGGAAAGAAAATAAATAATTTTGACACATTGCATTTTTATACACTGCCAGTGTATCATTTCCTTCACACTAATAAGTTTAGATCAATGCCATATAACATAAATTCAAAATTGATACTAGTATAAAAAAATCACTACATTGTTAGTGTACAAAAAAATTATTCTTATGATTTGATTTTTTAACATTTTGTGAATAAACTTTGCATTTTAAATACAATGATTAAGTGAAACTTTCCTTTCATTTCTTCACATTTTAAGGAGGAAAATTATTTAACCAATCTATCCCTCCATTTCCCCTTCTTTTCCCTCCAAATCTCGACTCCCAAACTAATCCTAAATGTCTCAGTATGTGTGTGTGTGTGAGAGAGAGAGAGACAGAGAGAGAGAGCGGGGGAGGAATAGCGTGCTGAATTACAGTCAATCCTTTCCTTCTTTCGAACCATTACTACTTTACTAGATATACTTTTGTCAATATACCAAAAATTAGACTAGAGATTCATTTTCAATAATATTTTCATCATTTCAACTACGTTATCATTATACAAGAACTGACAAAATAATTTCACTTGTCACGTTCATACAAATTATACTGTATAACCAAAAAGCATGGGATGAAAGAGTGAAAGCCTGGGACGGAGGAAAGAAAAAGGCTCATGAGCGCACTTGGACTCAATTCAGCTCCATGATTCTTTAGGATCAATTTTGATCCTAAAAATTGCACCCTGCCATGTTGACAAATAACCTGATGTACACAAACAGATTGAAGATGACCTCAACATTGTAAATCCATGTTTGCTGCACTTCTTGGTCGGATGCCACACTGTGAATCATGTAGGAAATTGTGTATCCTGCCAATCATCTCAATATTTCAGCAGCAATAAAGGATATATATACCATATATAATGTTCTCTTGCTTACTTTATTAAGCTTTCCAATGAAAATCCGTTCTACTTCGCCACGGAGAGTTTCAACATCCTTTGCATACTCGCTATCATTCTCTTCCATTACTAACTGCTGTAATTGCTGCCTCATCTTCTCCAAGGCTGCATCTAACCCACAAAACTCTTTGAAAACTAATGCTTCTGTCCGCAATTGTAAAAGGTTCTTGACTGCATAGAGTGCCTGTTATTGCATTATTATATTCAGCAAAGAGGAATCGCGTACAGAATACTTGCCAATCAGTAAAATGGCATCCAAAGAATGGTACACGAGATCCTTCCTTTTTAATTTGAAATATTTTTCATACTTAGTCCAAAAATTGAGCATTTCAGAGAATATGTGGAAAGTTTATATTAAACATGCACAGCATGAACCCCTGTTCTAGATTTCAATGGCCATGCTAAAGAGACACCTTTTCCTGGAGATCAAGGTCCACTGATGCAAGTAGATCAACCACAGACCTCAAAAAGAAACGATTGTGGAAGAAAAGGGGCTCTGGATTACTCCCATTTTCTAGCTGACACTCAGCCAGGTCAGCCACGAGTAGAACAGACTTCTTCTGTATTCTTATGTCAATGCTTGAGTTGCTCAGGATATCCTGAAAGAATGAACCATTGTAAACAGTGATATTCACACTAATAACTGTAAACAGGGCAGAAATGATTATTTGACGGAACTGCCATATTACATTTAACTATATGATCACCTGAATCATCAACTCGCCAGCTTCAGCATAGAAAAGTTCTTGCCCAACGAAATTATTTCTGATTAAAGCTGAAATAGCAAATAATGCTTTTATGGCTTCCTCAACAAACTCAGATCTTGCCATCTTGATCAGCTTTGCCAGAGCATCAAGTTCCAGTACCTGCGATCCTCATTGTTCAGATGATGTTTCTTGTAAGGAAAATTGTAAAATGCGCAAGAATTCCAATCAAAGACATATTATTTAAAAAATAAAAATACCTGCTTTTGAACAACAGGGTTATTTTGACAGGCTTTGCCAAGAATGAGTGCAGAAGCAGTCCTGACTTCTTGCTCGGGGTGATTTAGTTGTTTTATAACTATAATGAGACCACCAAGTTTGTGCAATTCTGAAAAGAAAAGTTTATATCTTATAGACCTACCAATAGAGAGAAACGCTACTTGAAAATTCCCAAAAGAAAAGTGGAAGGCTGTACTTTGTGCCTCCACAATTATAGCTTTCTTCCAGAACAAGCTACAAGCTCTTTGGCTTATTATATCCAGCAGAAAAATACAGGAAGCAGTAGCAGCACATAATTTACGAGATACAGAACTATGGAAAGTGCTATCATGTGAGAAATTCTATTGATGGATCACCAATTATGTACAATAGAACAATTCAAGATATCTCAATGGAAAACCCACAAGAGCAAATCATCGTCACAAAAAAAATTCGATCTACATAAGCATCATGTTATCTGAAGTTTTGGAACTAAATTCAGCTAGACTGCACCCACCATCAACAAGTTTTGGAAAGGAGAGACCATTCGCTAAAAGTTATCATCCACGGTACCTTATTAAAATACTGATTGAAATGACAAAAAGAAAAACTTCACACAATGAATGCATCCTCTTCATGACAAAACAGTGGTCACAATTAGAACTTCTTTTAGATAACAGGAAAGAAGGATGCTTTCTTATCTTTAAGAGATTACATGAATAAAATATGAATATGTAGAATTTGCTTTATCAAATGTTACCTCAAACGAGTGGGACAAAGAACTCATGGTTTAAGCCTCAAACAGACTATCACAGTTCACAACAGTTACTTTGGCTCTTTCAGCACATAATGTCCTGTTATTTCAATCAGCGAATGACAAGAAGCTCATCTTCCAGCTATTTGACAAAGTCGGGAGCATTTCTACTATTGCTAGGTGAAAGAATGTTAACAAAATGTACAACTAAGGACTATATGCATGGAGTATGGAGAACAGTAGCTCAACAAAATTATATCTTCAGATCAAATGAAACAGCTGAATACACAAATTGGAAGCAGCTAAAGTATATTTCATTTGTTGCTCAAGCGTTAGCAATAAAAATTGTACAAACCATTTGCATTATCTATTGGCTCCACAAGTGTTGAAAGCTCCTCTAGTGCACGAAGACGATCCTCTGATGGTAAAGACGAATTCTTTAAATCATCTATTGCAATCCTCATCAGTTGTGCATCTGAAGGCATCTTTAACTTCTCCATCAGTTCCTGACAAGCCTAAAATCTTGTTATATATTAAAGGATAAGAAGAATGCACAAGTGGCAGACTTTTAAGGACAAAAAGGAAAACATTACTGGAAAGGATATACAACAGAAAAGGACAGCCAAAACAGTTAAAAAGGAGCATAAACTAGATGCCCCGACCAAATGCATTCAATGGTATGTTGTACTTTCAGCCTATAGATGAAACCACAAGTTAATCACTCTGACCTTTATCTCCATATGGCGTTTCTTTAGCTCATCAGGAGACAAGCGTTGGACATCTTTCGCGGCTTCTTTCAACTTAGAAGGATCGGAATGCCCTGAGACAAAAGCAGCGGCTGAGGAAAAGGAAATAGAATACACCATTGAACTAACAGGTTGAAGCCCAAAAATCAAGACAAACAGTGAAATCTTATCCCAATACAAGCCTCACGGTCAAGTACAAGAGTCCCGTTTGTGGATTTACTTTAGTTTAGGTAGGCATCACATTCCCAAAAGGCAGATTTCCATCTCTTTTTCAATAAACTCACTGCATTTTTATCTTTGGTTACCTCTTCCTCCAAACCTTATCATCAGTTTGACTTTGAAACAGTATTTCACAAAACTTATGCACATAGCCATGCATGCATAGCAACCATTCTAAAGCATGCTATAATTCCAAATGCTTGTAGAAGCTCATATCTCATTCATCCATGTTCATAGGATCTTCCATCACATGACCACACTGCCAACACAGTTATACAAAGATTACAGCACATTACTAATACAAGATGGTCATTTCCTTGCATGTCAATCCCAAAATTTAGATTTAGAAGGTCAAAGGGAACGTACATAATAGAATAAGGAGGGGAGCAAATACAATCTAGAATCATGCCAAGGCAGAGGTGAATCTCAAATTCAAATTTTAGATATTTCTTCTCACATAGTAGCAGCCTCCCCGTAGATGTACACTCCATCACCTTTTATAGAGAAGATTTACAAATAGAAATGTTGATTTACTTGACAGTTATCAAGAGTTTTCATGGGGAAAAAAAAATTAACCGATATAGGTATCATCGCTTTAGCCCTACGTAATAGACTATAGACATAAAACCTTGAGCACGTCAATTAAAAATTTAAAGCTTAAAAGCCTTGAAATGATGCTGCCATATTCGTTGTCAGCGATAATGTGCATAAAGAAATTTTCGTGACAGCAATTATATGGGTCCACAAATCCCAATGCACCTAATGTGCAACACAGACTGAAAGAGGGCATATAAAGAGAAGGAAAAAGTTGACATCTGAGGCAGAGGCTGAGGCCGGAAAGATAAAACTAGTTAATTGGAATCGGAGCTCAATCAAGTAGGCACCAGCGAGGGCTAACAAGCAGTTAGGACTACGACAATTTATAAAGTAATAAAAGCTCATCAGAGTTTAAGCTTCAGTTGCAGACAAAGATAAGGGAAATGATTATTTTTAAGAAAAACTAGTAACAACTAACAAGGGAGGGGAGCACAGGGGAAAAAAAAAAGGGTTAGGAGGAAAATAAACTAAACTACTCAAGTAGTCGAACCTATTGCCCACTGCAACATTCCGTCGAGGGAAGAGAAACCACCGGCGTCAAAATCACGGTGGTTCTCGTCATCATCATCCCAGAGCAAAGAGGAATCCCCGGCGGCGTCGGCTTTTGCAACGAGATCTCCCTCCTCTTTTGCGGTAGACCAATACAGGCCTGTGGACGCCGACTTGTTTAGACCATCCGCCGAAGCCCTTGCAGCAAAAATGCTCAATGCTAATGCTGCTGCTGCTGCTGCTGCTATTGTTGTGAACGCTATCATCAATCGCATTTTAGGCGGCAGTGAATAGTGATAGGGGCTCTACCTTGTCCTTTTTCTTTCAGACATCTCTACCTTCCTTTATTTTGCAGCTTTTATATCGAACTGCAAATTTAACAAAACAATATACTACTTTTTATTAATAATAATAGGATGAGAAGACGAAGGGTCCGAACAGAACGGAGCTCCCGGCACCCAGTCAACTACTTCTGAGGTTTCAGATGGGTTGTGAATTGGGAATTATGGGGACTGCGGCGTCAACCGAAGGCGAAACCGAAAGTGCCGGATTTGCAAGCGGTCATACATTAATAATTATTACCACTTTATTAGTTAGCGTAATGGTGACGAGAGCCAAATGTATTTAAACTTTTAATTATTAATTAGAGCGAATTGCGCGAAATGTCACTAAACTATTTCAAAGTGCCGGTTCTGGTCACTAAACTTTTTTATTAGCGTGAAATGTCACTGAACTAGTAAATCTGTACCGTTTTGGTCACTCCGTGTATTTGTGCCGTCAGGAGAGACGGAAATCAACTTTTTGAGGGGCAAATTCGTCTGCACAGTCTTTTCCTTGAAACTCTCCACCATAAATCACTCTAAAGCTTCAGACAACTCGTAAGTTCAATTAGGAAGTGCAAACCCTTATCCTGTAATAGATTTCTTCTGCAAATATGGAGTAGGAGGGACAATATACGAAGTTGCGATTTGCTGGGAATGTGTTGAAGCTTCATTGGAGGAATACCTAAGAAAAGAACTCCGACTTGCAATTTGCTGGGAATGTGTTGAAGCTTCATGAGAGGAAAAGGCAAGGAAACAACTCCGACCTGCTCTTGTGGCAGTAAAACCAATTTGAAGACTTCATGGACTGATAGGAACCCGGCAAGGAGATATGTTGAATGTCCTAATGGCAAGGTAAGTGTGTGAAGATATAGGAAATTCGTTAAATTAGGTTAATGTTTAATTGTTTAGACATTTATCGGCTAAAAAGAATTTGGATAATTTTTTTGTAGGTTGATGGCTGTGGTTATTGGAATTGGTATGATGAAGAAATGTGTGAGCGTTCGAAACAAGTCATACCCGGTCTTTTAAGAAGAATAAATAGGGTGGAAATCGAGAATGAAACTTTGCGGCAACAAATTCTCAAGTTGCAAAAGAAAGCTGAGAAAATGGAGGATAGAGTAAAAAATCTGAAGAAGAAGCTTGGAAGAAAGAATGTGAAAAAATGGTCATTGTTCTTTTTGTTATAGCCTGAACAATTGTTAATGCATCAATGTGGATTTGGGGGCCTAACAAGGGACAGAAGTTTGGAAGGCTGCAAATTGATGGCTACTAGAGTATTGTTGTACTTCAAATCCTAAACCAGTGCTGTCAAATGTTTTAATACACAGCTCGTTGTTGTTGAGGTTATAGTGTTTTTATATACACCTCATTTTGGTTGGTGTTGTTTACACCATGGATGTTTGAAATTGTAATTTATGAATAAAAGACTGAAGTATTAGTTCCAACATATGGGTGGTGCAAAAGAAAAGTAGCTCACAAATGTAGAAAACATAAAGCCAAATACAACAAAAGAGATAATTATCACTATCATTCCAAACAGCTGCTTTACAAAAGAGATAATTATCACTGTCATTCCAAACAACTGCCAACAAAGTTAGCCATGTTTCACATATAAATAATCTGGAATTGTCCTAGACATAGAATACATCCAAACAAAAGCTATGCAAACAAGTCCTTTAATCTGATCTTCCACTTCTACTTCTACTGCTCCTTGATGTTCCAGCCCATCTACCAATCTTGAATGGAGGCTCTTTGCCCAAGTACTCATAGTTGGTGTTGATCCTTATCTTGTCAATTTCAGACAGCTTTCTCTTTGAATGGAGAGACTGTTTGTTGGCCGCTGTAGTAGACTGGTCGGTATCATTGACAGGCCTAACTCTCCTCACCTGTACACAAGTACAATAAATATTAACAATAGCTATTTACCATAGTAAAATTAAAAATAAAATTAGAAATAAATTTTTGCACCTACAAGTGTCTTAGTCTTTCTAATCTGCTGCTTTTTCGTACTACTAGTGGCAGCTTGTGCATTACGTTCAGCATGTGAACCAGTGTCATTATGGGAAGTAGTTTGCTCTTCAGCTCCATGTGGCTGAGAATTGACACAACTTGAAGAATATCCTTGAACTTCCACATGAACAAAATCAGGCTCCTGAGAATTAGCTCCATGTGTTGTGCTTGAGCCATTGTTGGTGTCTTTTGACTTTCTAGCATGTTTAGGAGCTGGAGCAGGTTGACTGCAGCCTTCACCTCCATTATTTTCTGGAACACTTTTGCAGGTAGCAGCATTGTGGCCTGCCTGACCACATCTTCTACAGTGCATGATCACATGCTTTTTTAATTTTTGCACATTATTCGTTCCCACATGAACACTACTTCTATTTTCAGAACTACCTTTTCTTCTTGCTTTCTTGGGCCTACCAGGTTGGACACATGCAAGTGGAGGATCTAATATGGGAATATCACTCTGAGGCCATAGAGACTTTCCACTAATTGGATATAGTACATTCTCATATATTTGAAAGAATAGATCTCTACTATAACACTGATCGGCATAGTCATTTGGGTTCCTACCAATTTTTAAAATGGCAGAAATTGCATGGCAGCAGGGGAGCCCACTAATTTGCCACAACCTGCATGTACAGGTTCTGTCTCTTAAGTACACAGCAAATTGTTCCCCCTTAGGTCCCCTAACCTGATATCCCCCCTTCCCATTTGATATTGGCTTCCACTTTCTAGAAAACTTTTCCCTCTCCTCAATCAAAGCCTTTATTGCTGGTCCCACAGGACCACTACATTTTCTCATCCAATATACCCTATTTGATATCTTTTCCATTATGAATTGTCTAATCCACTCAACCATCCCAATCACTGGCAACTCTCTAGCATTTAATATATGAGAATTAAATGTCTCTGATAAATTATTAACCAGCATGTCAGATTTCACGTGAAGTGGAAAAAAAGCCTTACACCAGTGATGAGGTGGTGCAGCTCTCTTGACCCACGCGTGAGTTTGCTGGTCATATGCTCTAAGCTCTTCCAAAGCTGCCTCATAGAACTCCACTGTTGATGCTGCTGCAATGCTCCAGAATTTTTCTTTAAGCACTTCACCAGGGTGTTTTTTCTTGAAATTTCTGTACATATGCTGTACACAATATCTATGGCCAGCATCTGGTAATAACTCCAGCAGTGCACTATCAAGACCCTATAAAAGAGTTCTAAGTTTAGTCACTTGCAAAAATTATCCTATACAATACATGCTATAAGGATAAAGAACAGTACTCCTAACCTTCTATTGGTCTGAAATAAAAGTGTATTCACTGCTAGTTGCTGGTATTTCTAGATCACCAATCAGTAAACTCAAAAATCAAAGCCATTGTTCCCGAGCCTCCTTCTCAACAACTGCCCAAGCTAATGGCCACCAGCCACTATTTGGATCTGCCCCAATACCAATCAACAACTCCCCTGGATATGCCCCCTTAGTGTGACAGCCATCAAGAGCAATAAGGGGCCTACATCCCTCTCTAAATCCCTTTTTCATTGGTCCCAAACAGCAGTAAAATCTCATGAATCTGGGATTACTTTCAGGATCAGCTCTTGGTGAATACTTGATGTCTATGGTGGTGTCAGGGTGAGTTTTTTGTAGTTCTGCTGCGTACCTCCCAACATCAATATACTGCTGAGATGCTGACCCTTTGATAGCAGCCTTAGCCATTGCAAGTGCTTTGTAACCTTTGTTTCTTGTGATCTCGCAACTATATTGCTCATCTATACTCTGTAACAATTGCCTTACAGGCATGTTCATGTTGGATCTAACAGACTCTTCAAACTTGTCTGCTACCCAATTGGATGTCATGTTTTTGTTTCTCCAAGCATGGCTGCAATTGGTGTGGACATCGTAAATTGTTTTAACTACAAAGTCTTCAGTACCCAAAGCAGGAACGTGGCTAGCATAAATGTACCACTTACACGGATCTGCACATTTAGCTCTCATTCTTGTTTTGTCACTTGTATACATATATACAGGTCTTCCACTTATAATTGCATAATTTCTGAGAGCATCTCTGAACTATTTTTTGGTTCCAAATTTTTGCCCAACATGAAAATGGGGATCTGTTCCATCTCTGATAGCATTGAAACTAGTGTATCTCACAGGAACATCTTCATCTTCTGAATCTGGATCACTATTTAATTCCCCTTCCACAATATCATCCAATAGTGGGTTGTGTTCCGCTCTATTTTCAAATGCTTCAGCTTCAGTTTCAGGACCAGCTTCTGTTTCAGCTTCAGTTGCTGCACCTTCTCTATTTTCACATGCTTCAGCTTCAGTTGCTGCCCCAGTTTCTGTTACAGGTTCAGTTGCTGCACCTTCATTTGTTGCACCTTCACCTACTGCACCTCCATTTGATGGACCTTGACCTGCTGCCCCTCCATTTGATGCACCTTCAGTTGCAGCACCATTATTTGATACACCTTCATTTGTTACACCTCCTTTTCTAACTCTTTTTGTAGCACCACAGAGGGCCTCCGACGTACGAGATTTTCTCCTATCTCTGTTTCTTCTATTTCTGGAACTGTCATTGTCCCTCCTATTCTGACTTGATGGAGTTGGGTCATTATCAACTTGGCTATGCATTTGTGGCTCGGACTCCTGTGTATTGTTGTTGGCCTGTTCACATCTCCTAGAAGAATTTTGGTATGCATCTTCATCTTCACCAGCATGGTCATGTGTCCACTCTAAAGCTGCAGCTGATCTACTAGCTTGGACTCCTTTTCGTTGTCTATGAGGTATTGCTGCCTGTTGTGTAAGAATTTCACCATCATCCAAGATCTCCTCTATTACCACTGAACTCTTTGTCTGTGATAACTATTCCAATTCCTTTTTCTTCTGCAACTCATATATTTCCTCAACTGTTAAATGATGACAGTATACTTCCATTAACTTGTACTCATTAACCCAACCACAGAATTGCATAATGTCTTCATCCGTTTGAAGTTCCATCAGTCCATGGTTCAAATCCCCTCTAGGGTCAATGTAATAATATAACATAGTATCGTTGTGCCCACACTTTTCCACCATTTTATTTATTTCATGAATCGACATAAAATCAGCATGGCAAAGATCGAAATAATCAATCTCTCCACCCACATAACTCTTGTATTTCTCTCCCTCAATTTTACCACAGTGGTGGAGTTTAATCGAAAATGCAGGTCTATCAGGAACTGCAACAACAACGACAAAGGCAAACAACATGATTCTTGTTAATCACCATTTTTTATTGTCATACATGCTGTTCTTCTTATAAAAATACTTAACCCCCATTTGTTAATTAACCCGAATCAGACAACTGCATTTTGAAAAGTTTATTTTTTATGATTAAATTACAAGATAGAGGGTTCTTGTAGGACCCTTTGCAACCCACTTATACGACAAAAAGTGAAGTCAATCGTTCTTATGTCATTTTCTAAACAACCGGATCACTTCAGCAAACCCTAAACCCAATAAAAACTCTCACTAAATACTTCTTTATACTCAAAACACAAACAACACCATTAATCAAGAAAAATGTGTACGGATTGTAATATTTCTTACCGTATAATGTGTACGGATCAATGAATTCGTCCCTTTGCCTTTTCACCCATTTCGCTGTCATCGATGACCGATTCTTCACTGCTAATCTTCGTCTTTTGCCGGTTCTTTGAATCTTGTCACTGATTACTGTGAGAAGAATGGATCAATTTTGATACTTTTCACTGTCATTGTCCACATTCCCAAAAATTTTACCAACATTCCAAAGCCCCACAGTTAAACCTTTCACTTACCAGATGAAACTCTTCCCACTAAGGCTGTGCAGACGAATTTGCCCCTCAAAAAGTTGATTTCCGTCTCTCCTGACGGCACAAATACACGGAGTGACCAAAACGGTACATATTTACTAGTTCAGTGACATTTCGCGCTAATAAAAAAGTTTAGTGACCAGAACCGGCACTTTGAAATAGTTTAGTGACATTTCGCGCAATTCGCTCTATTAATTACTGTTAATACAGTATTAAGAAGATAAACTAGTGATGTGCCTTCTTCTTGAAAATTAATTGTTTTCTTTTAGTGGACATAGAAAACAAAATAATGCAATCATGTAAGAATAATAAGGGGTATAAGAATTATAAGGGATCTAGAACTAGAGGAAGCTGAATACCATTGAGTTGTGTATTAATTAATTTTTTTTTTATTGTAACGGCATATTTAACCTAATTTAACATACTCCTACTCCTACACTTGGAGAGGGGGAGCCTACTCTAGAGAGGTAGCTCAACTAAGTCAGAGGGAATCTGACAAGGATTGAACCACCATCAGAACCCATATGAATTACAGAAGCACATTAAACCTTACCTCCCACCCCAGAACTAATGTAGCGGGCAAGGAATTGGTTAAGTATTAATTAATGTTGAAGTCGGAGAAATTTGAATGTTGTATAACTGAGTCATGTAGTCTGACAAGTTTATTACGGTAGAGATTAGTGTACTTTTGGAAAAAGAAAATAGTTAACCATAAATGATGGGATTTCTATTTTACTTTTATTTTGTTTTGATATAAAAAAAAAAATTGACACCGCCTGTAACACCGCATTATTCATAGATGTTAAATAATCAATTTTATGTTAATCGAACGGACAAAATATCCTTTCACGTAAATTTCACCCCCTCAGCGTGGAAAATAATATGCTATTACGCTAGTAGGAGGATTATAACAATTTCTGAGTCTTCAATTGAGAGCAAACAATTGAGAGCAAAGGGCCATGCCATCCCCCGTCCTTTCATTTGGATCCCGGGCTAGCTATACATACGTACTTGGTCAGAGTAGAGATTAAGGAAGCCTGTGCACTGAAATTTAGGCTAGTTTGAAAAGCAATTTTTCTTTACGTTGTTTTTTATGAATATATTTCTCAATCACCTTTTCACCTCACATATATTAAATCAAATCGCTATAGTAATTTTTTCACAAAAAATTCAGAAAAATTTCCCAATCCAAACGTGACCTTGGGTTTTCTGAAGGGACAGGGGCCGTCAAGCGAGCGCTATGCTGTGACTTGTGAAGAATTGAATTGCAAGGACTTCCATACTAATAGTGGACTTTTGTGCATACGGAGCTGCCGTCGATTAATACTAATAAAGACATATGCCAAATTCGTCTTTAAAGGGCATCCATCTATAGTGTTCTATTCTGCGCTTGGTGAAAATGAAGAGTTGTTTTCTTGGACGGATTTAATATATGTTGGATGATTTAGAAAATGCTCGAGGGAAGAAGAGAAGGAACCGAATTAATGACCTATTCTTCAGACTTATCATCAAAATGTGCAGCATAATTAAACAATAGGTAGTCTGTGGAGTAGTGCAACCAACAAACTGGAAAGTCAAAAGGCCTGATTTTCGGATGCAAAAACGCAAACTCACTCAAGTGCCCGTTTTGGAAACAGAGAAGATGCCAAAAGAAAATTCAGTCCCACAAAGGACCTCCAGCCGCAAAGAATGCGACTAACCAAACAAAGTAATGGCGATACGGAATCTGAAGTGATAGGCCAATTAGCAACTAATGGCCATTTTATTGATAGAATGCCCTGCAACTAATTAACAAATTTTGACTTGACTTCTTTGGTGTCTTAGATACTCCTGCTCATGCCTTGCAGGAGTGATCCAAGGGCAAATCATGGACATAAAATCATTTAATTTTAATCCTCCCTATGGGGTTGCTGAATTTTAATTTGATTGTAACAACAGAAAATGACTAATTTTATGATGAAGATGACATTTGAAATATATTTTTTCACGGATTCCCAAGAAAACCTATTTTTTACAGGAATATCTAGTAAAAAAATTTGCCCAACAAAAAAGTACAACCTTATTCCACAAGCCTAAGGCTGGCTAAATAAGCCAGACTCGAGATTTTGCTGTTTCCACTACATTCATGGAGGCATTTAGAATTTCAAAACATGCGAAGAGCATCATGATTTACACAAACGAAATCAAGATAAAGCAAAAAGAAAACAAAGCACCGTGTGAAAGGAAAGTAATAAAAACGACCAGAAAAACATTCACTGGGTCATACGAGTTAGAGATCATCAAAAGGTTGCAAATGGATGCATCGTTAATTTGTCTTCGGACCTTTACCATTATTATTTCTCTTAGAATACCGTTGAGTTGACTCAGCAGTACGATTGACATCATGAAGACCCGCATGGGCCACATCAGCAGAAGTTTCAGTAACTAAGACATCGGCCGAGTACTTTTTGATCCTCAGAGAAATGAGAATGCTGGATAAGATCCCAAGCACGGGAAAGACATATGACCAAACCTGAGATTTCTTGGACCCGGATGCAGAAGCTACAGCAGCACTTGCAAGACTGCCAATTGAAGTGTTCTGCAATATCATTGGTAGGCAGCCAATTACTGTTGGAAGCAGGAAATCCACAATGAAACCTACTTCTGTTGCAGCCAAGGCATAGTTGATGACATAGGAGGGTATAGGTGAGAATCGAGCAAGAAGAACAAATCTCCATCCATCTTGTTCAACTCCACGAGAGAGCATATGAAAATACTTGTTTCTGCGAGCCCAATCTACAGCGGAGCTAGAACTCCTGCAAATAAGCCTGAAGAAAACAAATGTCATCAGAATGGAAATAGCAGACCATAATAAATGCACGCACTAGATGAACACATATATCTAATCTAAGTAATGGCAGAGAGAGGAAAAAGATCCTAGGATGAGCTTCAAAGTCACAAAGGAAAAATTACCAATTTCTCCTTCAGGTGCCTGTCAATTTTTAAAAATTTTCCTTCTCATCTATTACTTACCCCCATATTAGGCTGCTATAAATATTGAACATGACAGGGTGCAAACCAGACTATTATGGAGGACAACAACCAGTCAAGATTTACAGGAAGGAGAAAACTTTTTCTTTTAGTTTATTTCTCTTTTTTTATAAGGGGAAGAAAGGT